CCAACCTTATAGTCTAAAAACAAGTAAAATTAACCAAGCAAAGGAGAGGAAAGCCATTCCAAGAAAAGACAGCATGAACAAAAACACAACAACAAACTATGGAAACAGTGACCAGTGAGTTGGGATTCACATCATGGTAGACAGATAGCAAATACATCCAGGAAGGGAGATTATACGAAGAGTACCAGAAAATGCAAATTCCTGTACATTACTGCTAAAAGTATACAGTAGTATAATTTTTCTGAATGGCAATTTGCCAATAGACATCAAAAGCCTTTATTTATTATTGTAACAGAAGTTTAAGTTATAGGAATTTATCCTAAAGAAATAGACAACTGAATAAGGACTATATGCATAACTATTTATCACAGTGTTATTTATAAAAGCAAAATGAAAGAATCTTTGCCTTCCAATGGCAGGGGATTAGATAAATTATACTACACCTGTACTCTATGAAGAACAACAATGCTAGAGCTCTAAATTCATTTTGGCCAGATATGTCTTCATAAATCATTATTAAAAATGAGAAAAGCATGATATGTAGAATAGCATATAGGGTATGAAACCATTTAAGTACTAATAAAATACATATAAAACTGTTAAAATATACTCATTCTTATAATGTTCAAAACTGTCATTAGTGACAAAAGTAGATTATAGAGCAGCATATACAGCATGAAACCATTAAATTATACTACATATAAAATGTAGAATACGGAGGTTTACAATAAGTCACCTCTAAGTGATAGACTAATAAATTACTTTTTATATTTTTGTTAATACTTTCTATTTATTCAACAATGACTATGGATTATAACTTAAAGATATATATGTTTTATTTTATTTTTTTTTAACGTTTATTTATTTTTGAGACAGAGAGAGACAGAGCATGAACTGGGGAGGAGCAGAGAGAGAGGGAGACACAGAATCGGAAGCAGGCTCCAGGCTCTGAGCTGTCAGCACAGAGCCCGACGCGGGGCTTGAACTCACGGACCGTGAGATCATGACCTGAGCCGAAGTCGGACGTCCAACCGACCAAGCCACCCAGGCGCCCCAAGATAAATATGTTTTAAATACTACTTCTGATTTCAAATCCAAAATGTGACAACCTGCTCAAGATAATGGATTATTGTGTTATCTATTAAGTCCCACATTTTTTGGGGGAATGCAAACTGGTGCAGCCACTCTGGAAAACAGTATGGAGGTTCCTCAAAAAATTAAAAATACAACTACCCTATGACCCAGCAACTGCACAACTAGGTATTTATCCAAGGGATACACATATGCTGTTTTGAAGGGGCACATGCACCCCAACAATAGCCAAAGTATGGAAAGAGCCCAAATGTTCATCGGTGGATGAATGGATAAGGAAGATGTGGTACATATATACAATGGAGTATTACTCAGCAATCACAAAGGATGAAACCTTGCCATTTGCAACTACATGGATGGAACTACATGGATAGGGTATTATGCTAAGTGAAATTAGTCAGTCACAGAAAGACAACAATCATATGACTTCACTCATATGAAGACTTTAAGAGACAAAACA